TGGGGGCAGCACAGTAAACAAGGCAGTGGAATTGAGGGCGGGTGCTGGGGCACAGCTGGGGAGCACTTCAAGCAGACCCCTTCAGGGTGCCACTGTGTTTGGGCAAAGGTTTTAAGCAGGGCACCGACACAACAGGACTGACTGAGGACCTAATACTGTCTCTCCCCGCAGCTTTTAAAAATTTATTTACTTTTATATTTGTGTGTGTGTCCCATCAAATCAGATCTAACTGGTACAGGAGGAGATTGCCCCTCCTTCTCCAGCAGAGCATCTGTTGGATTCGAACCGTGTACCTCTGGGATTGCAGTGCAGCTTCTTGCCACTTCAGCCATCAGAGCTCCCTTAAAAATTTTTTTAATAACATTTTTATTTTATACTGATTTACTTATAAAGTTCATATACGTTATTTTTCACACTGTCCCTGCAGCTATAGCCTCTGTTTATTTTTGAAAGTCAGCATCTTAACGAAAGGACAAAGTCCTGACTTCTTGATGGAAAACAGCCTTGCTGATGGTACGGGGCTGCTGACGAACATAAACTGAAGAGACCGTAAGAAAGCGACCGTCCCGAGCCATTAGTTTCATGGGGACACTAAACAGTACAGGAAGGAGGCATTTGTCAATTTGGGGGTGTCTGACGGGCTTGGGATGTAAAAGTGAACAGTCTAGATCCGAGTCCCTCGTCCTCCACATTACTGATACTCTGGGGGCAGACAATCCTTTGGGCAAGGCGGGACCTGTGCGTGCACCGCGGGATGCAGTGCAGCGTCCCTGGTCTCCCTGTACTCACGAGGTGTCAGCAGTATCCTCCTCCCACCCGACCCAACGCTGACCGTCAAAAACGCCTCTCAAAAAACAAAACACGCCTCTCAAATCCAGTGCTGCCGAGTCAACCTTGACTCACAGTGGCCCCGCAGCACAGGGGAGAACGACCCCACAGGGTCTCCAGGGCTGTGAGTCTGTCTTGGGTCAAACTGCGGTCCTGTTCTCCTGTGCAGCGTCTGTTGGCTTAGAACTGCTGACCTTTCAGTCAGTGGCTGAACACCACTGCTACTGCTACTACTGACAATAACACTGTCAGATGTTGCAGAGAAGGGGCACAGCTGCTCCTCCACCCCCACCCTTTGAGCCTTGGCAAAAAAGCAAACTGCCAACAGAAATGACAAAGCAACTGGAGCAAAACTGAACCTTAAGAAGCTTCCCCAAGGCCTCCACTTGGGGTTGGGAGCTGAAATGGTGCTCATTTCACCCACTGCTGTCGGGCTGTGTGTTGCTGTCTTAAGACCCCAAAGCCAGCGCTCCACACCTGGGGAGTGGGGGGCACATGGGGACTGTGCCGGAGGAGAATGGACTTCTTTACGCTCCCAGGGCTTTCACCGCCCCGGCAAGAACGCGCACAGGCAGGTAGAGGGCTGGTCACAAGGCACAAGCAGAGGCCGGCCAGCAGCTTAGAGAAAGCAGGGAGAGGAAGGAGCTCTTCTCTGGGCTATGGGACAGTTCTGTGCAACCAGCCTCCAGGGAAGTAAAAGGCATGAACGCTGGGGAACAAAGGCCTGCCACAGACTCCATAAAGAACGGCTGTGCTGTTGGAGCCCTTACGACGCAAGAACTAAACATGCGGCTGCTAACCCAAAGGTCAGTGCTTCAAACCTACCAGCTGCTCATGGAGACAGCTGGCAACCTATTTCTGGAAAGATCTGGAAAGGAACTGGACCATTCCACTCTGTCTTAGAGGGTTGGTATGAGTGGGAATTGACACTACTGCACTGAGTTTTAACGAGTGGTACAAATTCTTTTTTTAAAAAAAATAATTTATTTTATTTCATTATTTTTTGTGTGTACCGTCAAATCAGATCTGACTGGTACAGGAGGAGATTGTTCCTCCTTCTCCAGCAGCGCATCTGGTAGATTTGAAGTGTGCACCTCTGAGACTGCAGTTGCAGCTTCAGCTCCTGCTAAGGTCGAAGGCTGACACAGGTGAGCCTCGGAAGAAAGGTGTGGCGATCTACTTCTGAAAAACTCAGCCACTAAAAGCCCGATGGAGTGCGGCTGGACTCAGGCACACTCGGGGTCTCCACGAGCTGGACGGAGCTGGCATGCCACAGCAGGTTCACGCAGGCTGTGGCCACCAGCAGCTAACCCACGTTCTCTCCTTCTCCACGTGGGACAGCCCCTGCTCCTTGCTCCTCTGTGCTCCGGAGACTTGAGCGAAGCCTCTCTCTGTCCTGCTTTTAACCCACCAATCCATCCTCCAACCAGTGGCCTCACCCACAGAGGCGCACAAGGAGGATGTCACGGTGTCTACAGCAGCCTTGTCTCTGGCAGTTGTTAAGGACTGAGAGAGAAGGCGGCCAAACTGCAGAAGAGTCACGACGAATTAAGGCTGAGAAAACGGAGCTGGTTCCTCTGACGGCACCAGCAACTACCCTCAGCAGGAACCGATGGATTCTCAGCAGTCAGCTCGACTGGAGGTCTTGCTTTGCCTCATCTGCTATTTTGAGTCCTGAGTTCCCCCTAAGTGGGAGACAAGCATGCCCATGCAAGGTCATTTGTGGGGATGTCGAGCCGGAGGCCAGCTCCTGTGCCAAGCATTATCCCTGGGAGGTCCGGGCACCAGAGCAAGGCTTGTCCACCCATTATGCACAGTTTGTGCAGAATTCAAGCAAAAGTAAACGCCGCTGTGCCTCTGAAGGGGAAGGAAGACACAGTGGGGCCACGGTGAGCTAGGAGAGGCTCTGTCTTGGCAACGGCCCAGCTCTGGGCCACTGCACTTCCAGGAATGAAGAGGCACCAGCAGCTCGGGCTCCCAAAGCAACCGGAGCCAGTGCTGCCGGTCCTGGGCTGGTCTGGCCTGCGGGGAGCACACAGCACTCCTGCAGGAAAGCCAAAGCCAGCTCTTGGCCAGTTCTGGGTTCAGTACACGATGGCTCTTTGCCCTTCTCCTGCTTCCAGTGGGGACCAAGAATCATTTTCCCATGTGGCCATCCCAACTGATTCTGACATGCAGCAACTCTGTAAGACAGAGCAGAACAGTCTCACGGGCTGTCCAAAGCTGTTATCTTTTTTTTTGTGTGTGTGTGTATCATCAAATTGGATCTGACTGGTACAGGAGGAGATTGTCCCTCCTTCTCCAGCAGAGTATCTGGTGGATTCGAACCACATACCTCTGGGCAAAGCTGTTATCTCTACAAAAGCAGACTGCTTTATCTTCCTCCACATGGATGTAAACTACTGGCCTTTTGGTCTGCAAACATTTAACCCCTGTGACACCATGGCTGCCTTTTCAGCATTGCAGAGTTAAGGAAATCTAAGAAGGCGTCTTCTCTCCTCAAAACCTCGACCATGACCTCCTGGTTGGTACCATCTCATCCTCAACACCAGCACCTTGTTGTACCTCTCTCCTCACTAGCAGGATAAGAGAATGCAAGCATGCGTCTACGGTAAATGCTCAGAGCCGGCCTTCAGACACAGACCACCAACATGCAACATGTAAGACACGGAGATGGATTCGAAAACAGATGGACAGAGGGTGTGGAAGCTTTTAGGCCTAACAGCTCCACTTCTTGTTGCATGTATCTGTTGTTTCCTCCCCAAGACTTGGTGACCATTGACAGAGTCCTTACATCTGAGTTAATATATGTTGTTAGAAAAGACAGGAACTGTGGTGGTTTTATGGACAGTGTAGTCATCTCTTTGCTGATACCGAGAGGATGCTTACACAATCCCGCAGACGAGAGGGGCACCATTCGTTCCACTCCAAGGTTCAGGAAAGACTTGTGATGAATTCCAGAAGGCAAGGCAGCTAGCTCCACAGCTCCCTTGGCGCCGCACGCAGCAGGCAGATGGCCCAGCCCAGCAGGACACCCCAGTGAGAGGAAGGCTTTTTCCCAGCTGTTCTCAGAGGTGCTGCCTTATCTACCACACCCAGCTGTAGAGTCTGTGAAGCTGAGAAAGAGGGATCTTCCCTCTAGGAAGGAAGGTGTAGAGCAGGATGATTGTCTAAGGCAGGGTGAGTTCCAGAAGGGAGTCCTGGGTGATGCAAACAATCAACAGGCCCAGCTGCTCAGTGAGGAGTTTAAGGTCTTGTGCTTCGGAAGAAAGGCCTGGCGATCTACATCAGAAAATCAGCTCCTGAAAACCTTACTAAGCACCATTCTATTCTGACACACGAGTCACATGAGTTAGAGTCAATTCTATGCCAGCAGCTTTCAAATTCTAGAAAGAGGACTCTTACTTCTCAAAGCAGGAAGTAGGAGGGACTCGATCATTCGCTTTTTCCAATGCTCTAGCCGCTGATCTGGGTAAGAGACCGGGGTAACAGAACTATGATCACTCCTGTATTACCCAGAGAAGATAATCTTTGTACAAATGTGGGAGATTGAACAGAGACCCAAGACAGTGGGAAATCCATCACCCTAATCCTTCTAATTGCACTATTCATCAAAATGTAAAGGAAGCATTCTCTGTCTCTTGCACCAGCCAAGACCATAAAAGTTGTGCAATCTAACATTCAGCTAAAAGCCAAAGATGCCTCGAACTGCTGAGGCCAGCAAAACCCCAACATCAACAGCTGTCAGTCACCAGCCAGCTGAAAGCCAGCCCACATAGCCAGGAGCCCAGGGTTAGCAAGCCCCTTTCATCCGGGGTAACTCAAGCTCTAGCAAACACTGCTGGCACCCCTGAAGAGGGAACAGAAAGCTTGGGAGAGCCTGTCTTGGGAATGGTCAGGTTATGTGCCAGTGTATTTTAAGGAACTAATTTAAATTAAAAAAAACAAAACAAAAAAAAAACCAACCAAAAACACACACGGTATCTGGACAGCCAGTGCAGGATCTGGCCACACTGCACTCCCTGATAAGCATCTCAGAAGTGAACAAACCCAGAGTTCTTTTGCCTTATCCTGCCCCCTAGCCATCCTCAGCAAGGCTGCTACCCTGCCCCAGCGTGGATCCAGACATACACCCTGCTGTGCACAAACCCGGGCGAAAAAGAAAAACTCACGTAGGGCGAATAAAGCTCCCCGGTCTCCGTGATTTCACCTGCCATTTCGGAAGCCAGCAAGGGTCCAGGAGCCAAGCTTCCTTCAGTGCAGGGGCTGCGGGGCTGCTGCTGCCGCCACCTGAGACAAGGGAGGGGACTCAATGTGGGCAAAGAACCTGGATGGGGCGCGGGCGGGGGCTGCAGACAGTGACCCTCGTGTCCCTCCACCAGGTAAGACTCACTGTCTCGATGAGCAGTTACCAGACACCTTAACTGCAATCAGGGTGTTTCGGATCCCTCCGCTTGTGCCCACAAGCTGGTGGCCTTCGAGATCGCCCCTCCAACTCAGCTCTTTGCCACAAGATCTCTCCTTCTCACCGGGAACCCCACTCCTCGCCCCTTTCCCAGCTTTCTGTCCCCCTAGGGTTCCCTCCGACCAAGCTTCCCTCTCATCTCAAGAGTCCCGCTCCTTCTCCGTCCTTTTCCCTCCAGGAGGAGTCTCTGATCTGGCCCCGCCCCGCCTATTTACCTACCTGGCCGTCCCGACACCTACGAGACCGCCTACTCCTGGCCGCTACCGGCGCCCGGGATTTATCGGCGGCGGCCGGCGCCAGCTGTCCAGTACCGGCCTGCAGTGCGCACGCGCCAGCGCCGGGGCCCTCCTTTTCCGCGTGCGCGAGGGGCGGGGCGAGCGCGCTGATTGGGCCGTTCGCAGGGGCGGGGCCGGGATTGGGCCCTGGCGGCCACCGTCTGCGTGGCGGAAGTGGAGCTGTGCGCTTCCTGGCGCGTCCAGGAAGTGGTGGGCATAGGCCGGGTGGCGAGTTGTGGCTGGTTGGGGCATCTCTTCTCGGGACGTGTCGGTCTGCGGGGCTGCTGTACCGACCCACGAGGTGTGGAAGGTGTAGGTCAGGGGTTAGGGAGTTCTGGTGGCTTGTTGTTGTTATTGTTGTGGATTGCCTTGGAGTCGAGCACGACTCATAGTGACTCTGAACAAAAGGCTTGAAGCCCCTCTACAACTATCGACACCTATCAAAGTTCATAGGGTTTCTGGAGGCTTGTCATTTAGGAAGTGGATGCCACTGCGCTGTCAACGCAAAGGTGTACGGTTCGAATCCACCAGCTGCTCCTTTGAAACCCGCTGTAGCGTCAGTCCACAACAACGACGAGTCTGCGGGGTGTGGGTGCAAATTTGACAGTTGAGGGACTTCCATGTTTGGGATACGAGAACATCAACCTGTGTTGTTTGTTGGGTACCTTCGATTTGGAACTGACCCATAGCTGATTCTCCAGCGGGGTTTTCAGAGACAGTAAATAGCACGGGAGATCTCTGATGGATTCGAACCCCATGCTTTCTACACATAAAGAGAGAGGACTTGGAAACTTAAGCTGGCCTCACCCTACTGGTCTGGGTTGTCCGGCTTGTGGGACAGGGAAGAGAGGTCTCTGGGAAGAGGATCTGTAAATCGATTTAAGGGCTGAAAGTTGATGCTAGGATGGAGTATCAGCCCGGATAAAGGGATGCTGGTTCTGAGAAATGGAGTGATGGGTCCTCGGGATGCGGGTAGGGACTGTCTGACTGTCCTTTAACAACTTGGTTTCTGTCTTGCAAAGAGATTTGTTGTTTTTTTTTAAAAAAATGAATATTTATTTTATTTCTTTATTTTTTGAGTGTACCGTCAAATCAGATCTGACTGACACAGGAGGAGATTGTTCCTCCTTCTCCAGCAGAGCATCTGGTGGATTCGAACCGTGTACCTCTGAGATTGCAGTGCAGCTTCTTGCCACTAGGCCACCGGAGCTCGCCGCAAAGGGTTTTTTAAAAAGCCCTTTTTTTCTCCAAGTGCCTGGAGAAAAAGCAGAAGTTTCCTGTGTGTCCTGATTCTTGGCCCCATACATTTTCCTAAGCTGGGCCAAGTCTGTCCTTCCGCTGAGCCACCAGTAGATTCAAACCGCCAACCTTTCTGTTAGCAGCTGAGCGTCACATTTCTGCAGGGGCTTAGCAAATAGAGAACCTAGACTCCCACCTTCAGTGGGAGGAAACTCCTGGTTCTGAAGTCTGCTTTCCACACCTGCAGGCGTTTACCATGTGGTTGAATGAGAACACCTTGCTGCTGGGGAAGAAGGTGGTCCTGGTGCCCTACACCTCAGAGCATGTGCCCAGGTAATCGGTCCTGCCAGATACAGGCACAGATGCACGTTGCCCTCCTCCCGCCCTTCAGGGCTCTGTAAGCCTGTCCTTTTAGCAGTGAGGAAGCTCAGCTGCAGGGAAGTTCTCAGAGGCTGTTTCCCCTGAGAAGAAACAGAAGTCGTGAGAAGTAACAGGACACAGGAAAAAGTGAAAGCTGCGCAGAGGAATACGATTTTCTTTGAGGAAGTGGCTATCTCCCTGTTTTCTCTTCTCCCCAGCTCAGCTTCCTTTTTGGCCTCTTAGCAAGGAATTATTTCACATAAACTAAATGTGTATTAACAAGGAAAATTCACATGTAGCCATAGGCTAGTGACACTGACTGATGCCAGCAATTTAATTCATTCTCAGAGACTTAATGCTGGGATGGAGGGAAACTGAGAGTCAGTTCCAACTCACACCTGCCATGTGAATCCACAGGGATTTCAGGGGCTGACTTTTCAGCAGTAGATTGACAGGCCTTTCTTCAGAGGCACCTCTGGGTGGACTTGAACCTACAGCCTTTCAGTTGTAGCAGAATGTTAATCATTTGCATCACCCAGGGATTCCAACCCAAATGTTAGCCGGTCCTACAGCTCTGGGCTGATTTTTCTGTAATTATTATTATTTTTTTTTTTTACTGTGTATGAGACATTGCCTTTAAAGGAGACATTTGCTGTTTGAACCATCGTGGCATGTAGTTTGGTGATGTGTTAATCTTTGTCACCATGTTGTGCAGCTGTCACTAGTATCCATTTACAAATGTTTTTCACCACCTTCCCGAGAGATGAGTTAGCTTTTTAAAGACTTGCTTTGTGTTTACGCCCCTTGGTGAACTCTTACAGAAATCACTTTCCCTCCCAACATTTTATTAATGACTCTTTCAAGCATACAGAAGAACTGGAAGAATTTGACACTGGACACCCAGCTCTCTCCCACAAAAGCTTTTATTGTTAAGGTTTTTTGGTGCCAGCCCCTGAAGGCTTTCTCTCTGGGCCCTGGGGGAAGGTTCTCACCCTCAGTCTTCCCCCGAGTCTCACAGGTTTGGGCTAATAATGGGTTTTGATGTCCACTTCTTTGAGAGGGCAGGACTGAGATACAGGATGGAATTCAGAGGGGGCGGCTTGTGAATATCTGGTAAATTGAAGGTGGTGATAATGTAGTTTTCCTCTTGCAGGTTCATGGCACCTAACCTTGGTGGGGATCTGGCCTTTTTGTTGAATTTGCCATGTCATAGACTTCTTAGGAATCTAAGGAATGTTCACTTTCAGACTGCTTCCCCATAGGTAGTATGGGGAGCTGGACAGAGACCGTATCTGCCCTGCTGTTTTCTAGTAGAGCTAACCTGGCTCCAGGTCATGTGCCTCTGCCCCGTCTCAGGAGCAGCTAAACTCCTTTCTTTGGGTCTTTTCTAAACCCTGCATTAGCTGTAAGGTAATGCAGTGCAGTGGTGAAGAGCTCACTGGGAAACAAAAAGCATGTGCTTTGCACAGAGCCGCCGTTCCTTGAGAAAGGCAGCTGGCTTCCATGAAATCGTGTGAAGGCGGGTTTGTGTTGGCCTGCAGCATTGCTAGGAGTCAGACTTGACTTGATGGCCGTGGGTTGGGTTTGGGGTTAGTCCTGCCGGGTCCCAGCCCCCAGCGTCTTGTAACGCGGCATCCTCTGCATCAGCTCCGGATGTCGCAGGCGGTCTCTCTGCCCTGCAGATACCACGAGTGGATGCAGTCGGAGGAGCTGCAGCGGCTGACGGCCTCAGAGCCACTGACACTGGAGCAGGAGTACTCGATGCAGTGCACCTGGCGGGAGGACGCTGACAGTCAGTGGGGCCCGGGCTGCGGGAGGGCTGACCCCTCTGGAAGTCTCCAGTTTGCTCCCGTCCTCACTTCTAGACATCTTTCTCTCAGGGCCACCACCAGCTTCAGGGAAAGCCTGGAAGGTGCCAGAATCCCTGGTTCCCTCATGTCCCCTGAAGCCAACCCTGTGGCTGACACATCTGTCCTCCACACCCTTCACCAAGCGTGGAAGGACTGAGACAAAGTAAAACATCTTGAGTCCTGGCTGTGGCCGCTGCTCTTTCACCCCCCCTGCTCCCCATGAACACAATCCCTTTGTGGAGAGGCCACGTCTTACTGCAAGGAGCTCTGGTGGCATCATCCATTATGTGTTTTGCTGCTAACTGAAAGATTGACAGTTCAAATCCACCAGCTACTGTAGGAGAAAGATAGAGTTAACCGCCTCGGAAAGCTGGTGGAGGGTCATCTTGTGCTGTAATCCCCTGGACAACTGGTTGATGTCTTACTGCACAAGGCAGGATTGGAGCGTCTGTCGAGTAGTGGGAAGCTCTGGGCACCTTTTCTCCCACCAGACTCGGGCGTGGTGGCCTGCAGCCTGGAGGTTTTTCCTCCCTTCCTTGGCGATCATTAGCAGTATAGCCTGTCAACTCTCTCCCTTAGAGTGTACCTTCATCGTGCTGGACGCGGAGAAATGGCAGGCCCAACCGGGCACGGCCGAAGAAGGCTGCATGGCCGGCGATGTGAACCTCTTCCTCACAGATCCTGGGGACCCCACGCTGGGGGAGATAGAAGTCATGATTGCAGGTTTGTTGCCTCTCCCTCTTTCTGGCCTGATGGAGCTTGAGCAGACCTAAGGGAAGCCCTGAGGGTGAGACCACACAGGCTGCGTGTGGATTCCTTAGCCTGTGGGCTCACTCCTGTGTTTGGTATTTTTCCAGCTTGTGTTTAGGTATGAACTTAACCTTTGGTTTTAGGGGCTTCAGCATTCAGGCTTCCCTCCAAGGAAACCACTTTGTCCTGGAGCCTTTCCTGTGCTAACGGTGGGCCCCCAGCTTCTCCTTCCCCTCAGGAAGGTTATTCTTGCTGAGGTAACAAATCTCAGCTTCAAGTGGTGAGGGCCTGGCATAGCCATCTAACTTCTCTGTACCATTTTACCGTCTGCTGCTGTGGTTAGGTGCCACTAAGTACAACCTCTAGCCACACTGTGTACAACAGATCTGAACCCTGTCCTGTCTTGAGCCATCCTCACACTTCCTGACACACTAGAGCCCATTGCAGCAGTCACCGTGTCAGTCCACCTGGTTGGGGGTCTTCCTCTCTCCCATTGACCCTCCACTGTTCCAAGCATGATGTCCCTTTCCTAGGAATAGCCTCTCCTATTAGCCTGAAGCATGACTCAAAGCTTTATCATCTTTGCCTCCAAGGAACACTCTGGCTGCATTTTCTCTGAGACATTTGTTCTTTTGGCTGTCCAGGGGATATTCAGTGCTCTTCTCCAACACCACAGCTCAAAGACACCAATTTCTCGTCTGTCCTCTTTATTCATTGTCTAGCTCTCAGATGCACAGCAAGCCATCAGAAAGACCATGGCTTGAATCAGATGCACCTTAGTGCTCAGACATCGTTGCCCCTCAGTGATTTGAAGAGGTCCCTGACTGCAGACTTCCCCTGTGAGATGGCGGTAACGGAGTTGCTCAGAGTGGTGTAGGGCCGATGAGATCGTGTGTCATGTACAGTGTTGTGAGGTGCCATGGAGTTGACTTCTACTTGCGGTGACCGCGTGGGGCAGAACAGAACTGCCCTCCAGGGTCTCGTGGGCTGTGGTTTTTATGGACGTGGGTGGTCAGGTCCTTGTCTCATAGCCGGTGGGGTGGGTTCAGATTGCCAGCTTTTGTAGTTAGCAGCTGAATGCTGAATGCTTGGCACCACCAAGGCCCCTGGCCACAGCATCACCGCTATGCTGCTCTCTCTTCAGAGCCCAGCTGCAGAGGCCGGGGCTTTGGCACCGAGGCTGCTCTCATGATGATGTCTTATGGTAAGAAAGTCCAAATGATGCATGGGGAGGGGCCAGGCCTGGAGTGAGGGCTGGGGCATCTCAGAAGGGAAAAGCCTTGTTCAGGCTTGGAGGTGGGAAGACAGGTCACAGATGTCTCTATGGCAAAGTGGGCTGGGAGCCAGGGCTTGGTTAGGGGGGCGCAGAGGGGCCCGGCCCTTCACCCTGCTCACCCCTCTCTGGTCTGAGAGGAGTCACCAGGCTAGGTCTGACCAGGTTCGAGGCTAAAATCGGGCAAGAAAATGAACCAAGCATTCGTCTGTTCCAGAAACTTCACTTTGAGCAGGTGAGGAGGTCATTCAGACTGGCAGGGTAGGCAGGGGGAGGTCCAGCGTGCCACAACGGGCTGGGATACATGGCTGTGACCTCACGGCCTGCCTCTGCTGGCCCTCACAGGTGGCCGTGAGCAGCGTCTTCCAGGAGGTGACGCTCAGCCTGGCCATGAGTGAACTGGAGCGGCAGTGGCTGCTGGAGCAGACCAGTCACGTGATAGAGAAGCCATACCGAGCCAGGTCGCCAGAGCCCCACTGACAGCCAGGCTCAGAGGCCATCCTTGTGGACGGACACGGTGTCAGGCCTGTACACTCCAAAGGCCAGAGCCCTGCCACAGGAGACGGGGGTCTCAGGACTAGACCGGTGCCCCAGGCCTGGTCAGGTGGGAGGAATCCCCAGGGCTCAGGCCCCTGCATGCTGGACTCGTGTGCCTCCTTCGGCCAGAGCTGTGGACGGCCCCCATCCACGCCCTACAAAGTGTGCACCCCAATGGGAACCTGGGAAGTCATGAGCAGCGTCTGGAGGTGGGGTGTGGAGGATGGACATAGGAGAGCTCCCTGACGAGGCCCAGGCACGAATAAAGCACATGCAGGCTGGAGCCTCGTTTCCTCTCAGCAGTTCAGAGCAGGAGGGGTGGGACAGAGCTGGGCCCAGGGTGGTGTGAAGAGGGACTGCGACCCTGGCAGGACTGAGTGGCTGCTCCCCAGGGGGGGAAGTGGACTTGCATCTTGGTCCTCTCTGGAGCCAGTTTCGACGCAGTGCAGAGGAGGGAGTTAATAAAGGTACCGCTTGGTGACTGAAGCCCAGCTCAGCTGGTGAAGTTCTCAGAAGCAGAAGGTTCAGGGGCTTCTGGAGAGGCTACACCGGGCCAGGCCGCTTGGGGGCAGTGGAGGCACAGACTTGGGATGGCCTGGCCGCAGAGAAACTGCAAAATGTGGAGCTGGACGTGTCCCCCAACCTGGAGAGGGTGACACCCTCAGATGCCTAACCCCCCATCAGTTTGTGATGGCACCAGGAAACAGCATGTTAAACAGACGGCACTGGGCACGTAGGGCCGTGCTGGGTCCTCCCGGCTCCCAGGCTACTGGGTCTGGCCATTGACCGGTCGTGCACGTTAACAGCACAAGGAAAACAGATTTGCTAGGTAGGTCTCCTCATCCCTAAGTCCACTGTGCTTAGACTCCAAGCCAAGCAGGCCCTTCAGCCATGGCCCCCCCAGGACTTCTCCATCCAGGGAGGGGTCTCCATAGCCATGTGGGGGAATGCTCAGACCCACTCCACCTCAGTGTGGGGTTGTCCTGCAGGATTTGAGGGGCAGACTAGGCGCAGGGTGACAGGGGCTATGGTCAGGGTCTGCCAGGCTCCTCGGGTTGGAACCCAGACCAAGAACAGAGATGGGCGGGCAGCTGCCATGTGTTCTGTGGGGTCCCCTCCCTTGGCCACTATCTCCCATCTTCCTTGTGCATCTGAGTTCCAGGAACCTGACTTCTAAGTGGTGAGGTGGAAAAATAACCTGGGGGTAACCTGGCCCAGCCCTGCCAGGCTCCAGGATGGCCTTGGGCTAGAGTAACAAGCCAAAAAAGCCACCAGGCCCACAGCTTTTGAACCAGACTCCTAGTGACCTGACCCTCTAATGCTTTTCCGAGGCTGTAAATCTCTACAGGAAACTATCCTCCTTTCTCTCAGAGTGGCTGGTGGGTTCAAGTCACTGCACCATCAAGGCCCGGCTGGTGACCCTCTTGGGGCTGTGGAGGGACAGGACATTTTGCCCTTGGAAGGTCCTCCCCACCTTGCAAGTCCCTGGTCTGGTGGGGACTGAATTGTTTTCCCTAAACTCTGAACAATTGTCTTCCAATCAGGTGCTGGACAGGTAAGATAGTGTGTCTGGCATCAGCTCAGGCCACTCCTGGGAATCCTGCACCCCACTGGCTACAGGGAGGGAGAGTCCTGCCATGTCCTCACATTCCTAAACCAGCCCTATACTGGATTTGCCTCCCTCACTCCCAGGGTGACAGGACCTCCCAGAGGCTCCAGCTGGGTGGGTCTCCGCTCCCATCTCACTGGGCCAGAGAAGCTTCTGCAGTGGAAGAGCCCTGGTCCTCACCAGTGGGAAACGCAGTGGCCAGGCCCACTGACCCTGAGTCACATGGAAGGTGGATCCTGTACCCCACACAAGTGCCTGTGGAACCTCATGGCTGGAGGGCCACGTGACCCCGGGGCTGTCTGCTTAAAGCTGCACACTCCTGCTCCCTGGGCTTGGGCATCCCCGACGCCTTTCTCCAGCTGCACACCACTTTCTCAGCTAAGCCACCTGGGGAACCCTGTTCCAGTTATTTCTCGCTCTGCTCAGAAGGGATTGAAGCCCAGGAGGACCCAGCTTTCTTTATCTCAAGGAAGACATGGAGGCTCAAGGGGTTTGGAGAAACTAGTTGAATTTCTGCTGCAGTTTCTTTACAATGGTGGCCTCTGGCTCCAGGCTGGCCAAGCCCCCCACCTGCTGCAAGGATCTCCAGAGGGCAGAAGAAAACCCACAAAGCCGAAGGCCAGGACCACTGCTCTGCCCCAGATGACAATAATGAGAAAAAAAGTGTTAATCCAGGAAACAAAACCCCCTCTAGACTCTGGTCTGTGCTCTTAAAAAAAAAAAAAATGAAGTCAAGAAATCCCTAACTTCCAGCTTTCAGGGTGCCAGCTGCCCCGCCACTGGAGATGGGGTGCTGTGATCAGAGTTCAGCCCAGGGTGACCCCCAGTTAGGGTGACCCTTGACCCTGCCACCAAGCTGAGAGAGAATACCACTTCCCCCCACCCCATCCCTCTGTCCTGGCTTGGAGCAGCTCCCAGTGGGGGCCCCAGGATGGGGGCGGGTGGGTGGAGTCTGCTTTCTGACTGGGGCAGGACAGAGACCCGCTGGCCTCCCCTAAGGCAAGGAATAGGCTTCCCTAGAAAAATCAGGTTCGCCAAGCAGGGCGACGCTGGTGGTGATTGGTGCGCGGATTTGGGGTGAGTGGGGGGCGGAGGGAGACAGCCGGTGGGGTGCTCCGGGGGCCTCAGAGGTTGCTGAAGAGTTCATTTTTCTTGCTCCAGTCCATCTGCGGGGCCTGCTTGCTGTTGCGTTTCCGGTGTGCCCTCTCCTTGGCCACAGCCAGGGAGATGTTGAAGTCCAGGATGGGGTCAGAGGCGGCTGTGGAGGGCGCTGTGGAGTCCTGCTTCTTGGGGCTGTCCTGGGAATTCAACTGCCAAGGGGGGGGGGGGGGGGGGGGGGGGTCAGCTCTGCCAGGAGGGCTCCCTTGGGGCACACTGCCCAGGGAAGCCAGGTCACACGCACCAAACCGAGCACAGCATGTGACTGCAGGGGCAGGCTGGGGAGCCAGGAAGAGGCAGGGCCTGGGAATCAGCTTCCTGTAATCTGCAGGCCACCCCCAGCCCCTCTGGGTCAGCCTACCTCCTCACTGGTGTCACTGGAAGTGGACCTTGCTGGGCCTGTCCTGGGGCTCTCTGACACGGCTTCTGTCAGGGCTTCCTGGCTGTTCTCCTGGTACAGAGAGGAGGGGGTGTGAATTAAGACAGGAGGAAAGGGGTAGAAGTCTGGAGGGAGGTGTTTTCCAGGGAAGTCAGGCTGCTGGGCCTACCAACCCCTAGACCTGATGATCTGGCCCAGTGGGGGCTTGGTGTGGTCACAGTCCTCAAAGGTCTGGAGCCCCTGGTCCCTCTCATGCCACACTGCTACACCTTGCTACTGCAGTGACTGAGGTGGGGCTTCCTGGAGTGTGGGGGCATATGTGATGCCTCTCCAGCCCACCTGACCATCTTCCTGGACTCCATCCCAGGAATCCTAAACCTTAACCCCAGAGCAGCCAGGAAGAGCTTTGAGGGAGGGAGGCAGAGCTTCCGAGACCCACAGACAAGATGGCAAAGTCAGAGCACAGCCTCCCAGCTGAGGACATTCCCGGGGAGGGACCTGTGCAGACCCCAATTCCAGGCTGTTCCCGGCTTGGCACTCAGTCCCGTCCTGGGTACGTCCAGGGCCGCGGCTGGCACCTGGCCCGCCCTCTCTTCCCCAGCCTCCACCGCCTCGCCTTCCCTTCTTCCCGGGCAGGGGGAGGGGGCGCTTTGTTCTCCCAGCCCAGACTGGAAGTAGTGGCCCCGGCACAGCAGACACTGCAGCTCTGTTCTCGCGGGAAAGAATGGCCGCCTCTGTACGTGGGGAACTGGAGGCGGGGGCCTGCCACCAGGACAGAAGCTGTCGGGCCTGCCGCCTTCTGCCTGCTCTGGGCCCCGAGTGGAGGCCTTTGGGGGACCCTGAGGTTTCAGCCTTCCCCCGGGCACATCCCCTGCACCCCCAGGATCAAAGGCCACAGCAGCAACATCCTCACCTTCTGGATCTCCCCGTTGGTGAAGGGCTCGGGCAGGGGACCTGTGCAGAGAGAGAGCCGTGAGTGCAGAGCTTGGGGCGCCAGGGAGGGGAGGGCCGGACGGCAGAGTCTGGCAGAAAATGAGATATTCTGAGTCCGTGTGTAGAAAACGGTTTCACCTGCAATGTGTTGTTAAGTGCTGTAAAACTACAGCTCACAGCAACCCCGGGAAGTGCCTGACAGCTCCCCCTGTCCCGTGCCATCCTCTCTGTACACCTGACATGTGACTCCTCCTGCAAGGACTGTGTGCTATTCACCTTTACTAAATGCAATGCACTTGGGGTTTTCTGTTGTTCAGTTTAAAAAGCAGACTGCAGTTTACCCACTAAATTGATCTTGTGAACTACTAGTACCCGAACGGCACAGATGGCATTCACTCTCCTGGGAAGCTTGGTAAAAACAGAGTCCTCTGCTGGTGTCCGTGGAGAGCTGGGCTGCTAAGCAAAGGCCGCGTGTCCCCAGCGGTTCGATCGGAACCAACTTGGTGACGACGGCTGGCGTGAGGTTATGGCACCAGAGTGCCCCTCGGTGGGTCCAGGACGGCAGTTCCCATGTGATGCTCGCGTGAAGCATCACACAGACCGTGGTGAGTTCAGGCAGCATCGCCCTTCACATCCATGTGCTCTGCAGGACGTGTGAGTCTCCTGAATCAAGGTCTGTTGCAACCTTGCCTTGGACAAGTCCAGTGGCACCAGCACCACTGTTCCAGTATCGTACGTTCATTTTGTGTCTCACCTGTCACATTTTGGCAATGGTAATATTTCAAACTGTTTGATAATGCTACTGCACATGTAGTAACCAAAACCCCAGAATGCGTTGCATCAAGGAGATTGGGGCCCCGCTACTCTCCACCAGGTTTCTGGGCTCATCGCTCCCCTGGGGTGTGTGGCCGGTGAATCTGAACTGCTGGGTTAGCAGCCTCTGACATGTGCCGCCTGGGCCTCTTCTGAGGGTGGAGGGTCACCTTAACTCACATGTGCGAGAACATTCCCGTGACTCACCACTGATAGGCAGCTGCTTTACTGAGGTGGTCTGGAACCCACCTGTGTGCTCTCTCTGCATGCCCGTACGTGCCTTGGCCGGAAGAAGGACCGATCCCAGTTCCCACTTGCGAATCTGGCCGTGGGAGTGGGAACTGGACAAGGAGGCCCAGGCGTGTCCTGGGTGTAGCACAGGGGTCGGAAGGAGAATCCAGGCCTGGCTTGGCCTTCCTCGCTGGCCGAGAGCTCCCCACGTGGCTAACACAGGGGCCTGGCTATTTTGCTTCTGGGTTGGCCTAAGTGGTCTTTGTGAATTCTGAGCTCAAAATAGGCGCTCTGGGGACCGAGTCCCTAGGGAGTTGCACGTCCTGTCTGGCAGTCTGAGTCCACCAGTGGCTCCAGGGCAGAAAGACAGGCATCACCTACTGCAATTTATTGTCTCAGAAACCTAAGGGAAGGCTGGCCGGGTCGGTTGTGACCTGACGAGGTGTTTTTGAGCTGAGCACGTACGTAGAATGACAGCACCTCTTCCCCTCTCCCAGGGCCGTCAGACATACCTGACTCAGCCCCGACGCCCACAGCCTTCCTTGCTGGACAGAGGGACACTGGGCCAGTCCCCACCCCTCAGTCAGCAGCTTCCTCACCAGCTCCAGGCTGTTTGATAATCATCAAGGTGAAGTCCTGGAAGCGGCATTCCTCTCTACAGGAACATGACCACCTGCAGGACCTCTGACTAGAGGGGCTCAGGGCTGTGGTCTCAGGGCCTTTCCCACAGACAGACAAGGGGGCGGGGAATGTCACAGGCAACGATTTGAGGGTAAAGGATGAGAGGCGAAAAGGAGAGGGGGCGGCAGAGGAAGGTGTCTGAGGGGCATCTGGATTTCGGCTTCTTTCCTGTGGCACGTGCCCAAGACCAAAGCCGGGGCTGCTTTAGGCCGGAAGTTCCCCCTCACCAAGGAGAGGGTGCTCTGAGTTACCACGGTTCCATGTGTCCAGAATCCACTCCAATGACCCATCCCCTTCCCAGGGAGTCCTCCTGGGCCACCTGGGATCAGGCCTTCCCTCAGAGTGCCCCAGCTGTAGCCTGAGGGAGTGGGAGACTTGCAGGTGGACCCCCCACCTACAAATCAAACCCTGACATTCCAGGGAGGCCCTACCCATCACAAAGTCCAGAGAGGCCCCACCTTCACATGACCAGTCCACGCCCCTCAGAGCCATCTTCCCAGGGGGAAAGTCCAGACCAAGGAGCAGAGGGCCGCTTGACCCCTCCCTGCCCTGGTCTGGGGGCTCAGCCCCACTTGGCACAGGCCTGGGCAAGGGGAGGTGCCAACGTTTGGGAGGGGGGCATGGGGAGGGCAGGGGCCCAGGCAGCAAACCGGGGGGAGCATGAACTCCACAGCCAGCAGGCCTGCGTTTCCAAGACAACTGGGGGGGGGGGGGTGTGTGTGCGCGGCTGAGGGGCCTCTGTCACTGGACTCTGATCTGACCACGCAGAAAGGGTGGGAGACTGCCCCACAGTCAACCCTTTGCCGAGTTGGCACTGCTGAGAGACCATGCCGTCAGTGGAGGAGCTGGGGACTCAGGCCTTCAATTCCGAAGCCCTATCCCATCTCTCATGCCAGCCTACCTCAGGCTATCAGCTGCTGACACGGCTCCTTCCGCTCCCTCAAACCACACCTCTCACCTCCCCTTGAAGGAAGAACTGCGCGTTCCTCACCTAGGACAGGGCTCCAGCCCAGGATATCCCCAACACCCAGGACAGACCTGGGGGGCTCCAGCCCAGGGTATCCCCAATACCTACGACAGACCGGGGGGCTCCGGCCCAGGGTATCCCCAACACCCAGGACAGACCTGGAGGGCTCCAGCCCAGGGTATCCTCAACACCCAGGACAGACCCAGGGGCTCCAGCCCAGGGTATCCCCAACACCCAGGACAGACCTGGGGGGCTCCAGCCCAGGGTATCCCCAACACCCAGGACAGACCTGGGGGGCTCCAGCCCAGGGTATCCCCAACACCTACGACAGACCGGGGGGCTCCGGCCCAGGGTATCCCCAACACCCAGGACAGACTTGGGGGTTCCAGCTCAGGGCAACCAGCTGCCTTCCCGCTACTCACCATCCAGGTGCTGCTGCGATGGGACCACTTTGCACCTCTTGAAGAACTCGTCAGTTTCCCTGTCCACCACCAGCAGCTTGGTCTCGTCCCCACCGGCCTTGATGGCCGACACCACGTCCCCATGTTGCTTGCCCTCCATGCAGACCCCGTTCACCTGGGAGGTGGGGGAGAGGGGTGCTGTGATCACAAGCTGCAGACTTGGAAGGCAGGCTGAGGGAGGTACCAGGGTCGTCTTTGTCCTGAAGGGGCCTGAGTGGACCTACTTGATGGTCAGGTGGGGAGAAAGACCCATGGGAAGAGCCAAAGAAAATATCCAGAGGAGACTAAACACACAGCTGCAGGGACCGGGGTGCCCGGCGGGCGTGGCCTCCGGATTTGCTGTCCAAGTCTCCTCTCTGGGCCTTGGCTTTCTCACAAGTAAAGCCAGACGCCAAGGACCGGGTGGCTTCTAGCTCTAAGGTTCTAGGGCTGATTCTGGGCCCTGCACAAGCCCGTTCACCGGAGGACACAGCACTGGAGTGCACAGTGTGTGTGGCTGAGCCGCCTCCCTCCAATCTCCTGCCTGGCATGAGGGCTCTGGGTGGCCCCAGATAGCAACCTGGACTGACCGGGGCCTGGGGGCAGCTGTGTCCATTGAATGGCTAAGAGTTTAGGGCACCATGGACCATGAAAGAAGTCTCTTCATCCCTCCATCTGTCTGTCCATCTACCTATCCTCCCCACTTCCTTCTGCTTTTCAGTCCACAGGCCTGCTGTCCCCAATCAACCTTCCATCCACCCACCTTCTCTTCCTTCACTCAACACCCATCTACCCTCCCTTTCTTTTCTCTATCTGTCTGTCTGTCCATCCACCCAATCCACCTTTCTTCAGCCTTCTTCATTCCTTCCCATCCTCCTGTCCACACAGCCAGCATTTATGGGCTAGCTAGGTCCCCAGGCCATGGCAGGATGGCCACCTGGAGGACCGGAGAGTGTGGAGAGGCCATCGGGGAGGAGGAGCCTGGGAGGAGGCGGGTGCGGTGTTACCTCCACGATGCGGTCCTGGGCCCGGAGGCCCGAGGCCTCTGCGGGCGAGTCTGGGTCCACTGCCCGGATGAACTGGCCAGGCTTGGACTTGTCGCTGTGCAGGTTGAAGCCATAGCCGTTGGCGCCCTTTTTCATGGCACAGAGCCGAGGCCGCAGTTCACGCTGTGGAGGTTGACGAGAGACAAGGAGAGTGATGTTGCTGTGCCCCTCGTCCTGTCCTCTGATGAACACCCCGACCCCCAGGAGGGGAGGTTTGGGACCGTGCAGTTAACTAGGACCCCACAGAGCACTGTGAGAGGATCCTGGCCTGGGACCCGGGGCGGGTTCCCAGCACGAGGACAGGCCACAGCCTCCGGTTTATCTTCTGGAAGATGAGCGTGGGACTAGGTTAGTGCCCAAGAGGCCCTTCTGATGGGTCCCTTATCCCTTGCCCTCAGTGAGGAAGCTGGCCGTCTTGGGGGAATAGGCCACCTCTGCCAGTCGGCTAGAAACCGTGGGCATGTAACTGGGGACCCCCAGTCCCCCTGTAGCCCATTCTCTGCAGCAGGTGAGGCAGGCCAGGTGTTCGGTGAAAGCTGGCCAGGGCAGCGTGTTTACTGTAAAGCTTTCTGGCACCACATGGGTTCTGCTCCCCCCACCCCCCGACCTGCACAGAGAGCAGTGGCCTGGCTGCTCCTTTCCTGCGGCTGAGGCGGAAGGATGCAGAGGGGACAGACAGCACCAGAGACCCTGCTGGTGCCCCCAACTCAAACCTACCAACAAGTCAGCTCTGACTCACAGCAACACTGCAGGCCAGAGGCGACCTGCCTCGTGGGGTTTCCAAGGCAGCATATCCCTGCAGGGACAGACTATGGAGCAGTGGGGGGTGGGTTTCGAACCACTGACCTTTTTGATTAACAGCCCAGTGCTTAGTGTCATTACACCATTACTGAGATTCCTTTTGGCCTGTACCCCACTAGAAGGGAACACAGGGACATGGATGTCTTTCCAGCACTGGGACGCTCACTGCACTGGGTACTCAGTGTCTCTGGCGGACTCGGAAGCTACAGGCCAGGGACTCACACGGAGAAGGGAAGGGTGTGTGTGTGTGAGAGAGAGAGAGAGAGAGAGAAAGACACACAGAGACATACATACATACACACACACCCCCACCCCCAGGACTCACTTGGAGGAGGGAATGGTCTGGGTGTGTTGTGACCCCGGACTCACATGGAGGAGGGAACGGGGGGGGTGTGTGTTTGTGAGTGTGTGTGCACGCATGCACGTGTGCCAAGTGACTAACACCTTCCTGAGGGCCGTGACTCTGAGGCCCCTTTTCTCTGCTCCCAGGCCTGGGACAGGGCAGCTGCCAAGGCCTTGACCCATGTCCAGCTCTGCCACCCACTATTCCCGTGACCTGGGGCAGGTCATTTCCTTCTCAGGGCCGCAGGTTCTTCCTTCTAGAATGTTCCTCCTGCCACCTGGCTCCCATGGCTGCTGCGAGGCATTGGGAGGTGACTGCCGTGGGTGGGAACACTGGAGGTGAGGTCGCCTGGCCCTGGTGAATGCTCAAGTCTTATTAAGCTGAGACGTGAGCTTTGATTGTGGAGTGCTCTGACATCCAAATCCCCAGCTGGGAGCAGAGAAGGCGAGGACGGGTGGGGAAGGAAGGAGGGCTTGCCGGCCTCTTGCCCCAACCTGCCTGCCCCAAGAGGCTGTTCCCTACCCCATGGCTCTCTCAGGGGTAGGTCCTAGCTCGACTTTTCCTTCCTCCAAATGCCTGGGCGGGCCCTGTGTCATCTGTACTCAGGATGCTGGAGGGGGTGTGGGGATGGAGACAGGAAGGAGAGCAAGGGCCCTGCCCGTGGGGTCTTGCCACCGACCCAGGTCTGACCTGCAGACCTCCTAACCTCTCACCAGAGCCCAAAAGAGGGGTCCTCACCACATACCACAACAAAGGCTTAAACAATACACTGGAGGACCCACGTGGCAGCAGTCCCTTGGAGGGAGGGTAGTCAGAGCCTTAGTTTTCTAGCCCCCCCCAATTCTTCCAGCCCTCACTACAGGGCCCACTCCCAGCTTCTCCGGTTCTTAGGGTGAGCGAGGCTCTTCTCCCCTCCAGCTAATCCATCCACAAAGCTGGGGCTGGCCCGGCCCTCCCCAAGGCCACTGGGGTTAGCGGGAACAGGTCTGACCAGTTACCAGCTTGGGGACAGGCTCAGCTTTCTAGCCCAGCTACAGTGAGTCTACAGTCTATGCAATTTCCCTGAGAAAATGGGGAGGGAGGGCGACTCCCAGGGCCAGGAGGGGCTGTTCCTGCTGCCCACACTGCCCACTCGCTCTGAAGCCTTCCTATGGAGCCTTGTCACCCCAACTCTCACATCGGGAAACTGAGGCTGGGAGACGCTGAGCCACCTGGCTCTACAGTGCAGGTGCCAGGGTTCCACGCTGGTCTCTGGGGTGAGCTCAGGGCTCCTTCCACCACAGAGCGCTGGCCTTGAAGGGGGACACAAGCCCAGAGGGGAGGTGGCCTGGCAGAGCAGAGGCCCCACGGCAGTCAGCAGTGCACCCCGGGCTGGGGCTGCAGCTCTGCTGGGAGTTGACAAAACCACCGTCTTCCTTCCGGTGCCTGAGGCCTGTGCATGCAGCCAGCTGCCTGCAAGCAGAGGGGAGCTGGGAAGGGTGAAGCCGCCAGTGGCCCCCTGCGCCCTCCACCCTTCACCCTGGACTTCTGTGCTGGGGTCTCTCCTTCCTGACCCCCCAAGCGAGCTTCCCTCTGCATGCCTTGCCCAGTGACACACACCATCACTGCTGGAGGGCCGCCATGAGTCACTCCCCTTGGCCAGCCCCAAGACAGGAGAGAGTGAGGGAAGGGCCAGTCCTTGGACTCAGCCCTACCACTCCCCTCCCCCGCCTGGACCCAGCCCACTGTCCTCTGGGCTCACCTGCAGAGGCCCAGGCAGTTTTCTGAAGACTTCAGACACCTACCTGTCTGGCTCCCTCCTCCCCAGTCCCCAGAGGCACCCTCCCTTCACATGATGGGGGGGCTGGGGCATCCCACTCTCCCAGGGAGACAGGGCTCGTTCCGCTTGGCCCCTCCCTCACCAGGAGCCACCCAGCTGTCTCCAGGACGTGTCCTGGCCAGCTGCTGACTCAGCCCATCCAGGGCCTCTCCCAGCCCAGGTGGGGGGGTGGGGGCCCAGGCTGCAGGAGTGTTGGACAGCCTCCCTGGGGTCCTGTGGGGTGTGGTGTCAGGCCCACTGAAAAGAAGAGTGGGAGGGGGCAGGCACCTGAGCCCTCACCCCACTTGCTGGCCCCCAGGAGGAGCTCTAGGTCCAGGGTGGGGGTTTCAGAGTCTGTCCAGCTTTCCCACTGAATTTTGAAGGGGAGGGGGTCCCATCCCCGACAAGAGCCCAGCGATAATACCAGGATCTGAGTGAGGAGATGGCAGACATTCAAGGAGGAGGGACCTGGAGAGCAACGGGGGGCCAGTGGGCAGCGCAGCCGAGACCTCCAGGGACTCCAGACCCTTCCCCCCACCCTGGTGGCCGCCCCATCACCTCCACCCACGCAGCCCTGGGAGTGGACCGGAACTTAATAGGCGCCATCAGCAGCCACCTGGAAAGCCGGGGAAAGTCGATACCCTAATCCCGGTGACCGTCTCTGGGGAGCAGGCCCAGGCCCTTCCCTGCTCCTGGGGGAGGCGGCAAGCTGGGGGCTGCTGCCCGGCTGGCCAAGCCCCTCCCGGCCGATGCCATGGTGATGGGCCCTATAGAGCGAGCCAGGCTGTTCCCACTCGCAGGCAGCCCTGGGCTGGGAGAAGTGAGGGAGACCACCAAGGGGGCTGGGGGAACACAAGTGTCCAAGACTGTCCTTCTCCCCAGTCCAGGAGACATTGTTCATGCAAAGGGGCCTGCCGGGAAGTGCAACCGGCCCTTCAGCATGGAGGGGGACGTCTTGGTGGGGCGATGCATTGAGCACTGGACTGCTAATGGAAGTCGGGCAGTCTGACCCCACCAGCAGCTCTGCGGGGGACGCTTTCCGGCCTCGGAGCCCCTCGAGCAGGTCTCTGCTATCTAGGACTGCGGCTGTCCTGTGCCATCAAGTCGGAGCCAACCCACAGCGGACCCTCCAGTGGGTTCGCAGAGGCAGTAAAACTCCCGGGCCGTCCTCCTGCTGGGCGGCTGGTGGATTTGAACCACACGCCTGTGAGATTCCAGTGCCGCTTCTCAGCACTAGGCCACCAAAGCTCCCATCCTAAGGCCACTAGGAGCTGGAATGGACTTGACAGTGGGAGCAGGAAGGGGGGGCATGGTCATTCTGGGTAGCAGTTCAGCTTGCTGAGGGGGAACCTGGGACAACTTGGGGGCCAGTGCTGGCTCCGCCGGAAAGCCGGGTTGGAGAAGGCTGGTCCTGGACAGGGATGTGCTCGGGGCAGCATGGGGCCACTGTCCTTTGGGCAGGCTGGGAGTGACCAGAGTTCAGGGCTGGCATCCAGGGCACTGGCACGAGGTGCCCTTGCCTCACTCTAGGTGAAGCCACTGACTACATGCCCCAGGACCCCAATGCCCTCCCCTCTCACCGCAGTGGGCTCCTCTCCACGTCCCCCCAAGTCTGCGCAGGCTGGGGGACGGTAGGCCCATGCATGTGCCCCGCTCCCCAGCAGGAAGGCCCTTGCGGGAGCCCAGCAGAGTGAGAACCAGGAGATGTAGACTACAGTGGGGGCTGCTCTGACAGCCCTCTCGTGGGCTCTGAGCCAGGTTCCCCCTCTGGCCAGCTCTCCTCTCCCTGAAGCAGTCAGAGACCCGAGGGGGGAGAGTTTGGCTCCGTTTTCCCCAGGGCTGGGCAAGCCTGGGACGGAGCAGGCCGGTACCTGGGCCGCTGCCTGGCTGGATACCATCCAGAGCTGGCCGCTCCATGCCCGCCTTCCATCATCCCTCCTCATCCCGCCACCTCCTCCCAGAAGGCTCTGGACTTAACTCCTTGCGTGCAGCCCCGAGCAGCTCTGTGAAGTCCTGCAAGGGGCTTTTGAAAGTGGGGCTTGACAGTGACAGATTAAATAAAAGCACCTACTGCCGTTAAGTGAGTGCTGACTTAGATCAATCCTCCACGGGGTTTTTAAATCTTTAGGACAGGAGACTGCCCGTTGTTCTGCCATGAGGCAGCCGGGGGATTCAAACGGC